ACCCCCTTGTCGTTTGCGGTATCCAAAAAAAATATAGGACAGTACAAGCATTAATATTGAAACTGGAGAAATTCGAATGAAACGTTCTCATCCAATGTTGAATAACTTTAATGAATGGCTTCTACTTGCTTGTCGGTAACTATCTGCAATATGATTCCAGTACTATCCGAGTAATTTATAATTCTATTTTGTATTAAGATGCAACATGGATATTAAATTTATTTGGTCAGGATCCGATACAAAAGCTCTTGTCTATTATATCAGTGATTACATAACTAAAAAAAACTTATCATTTCATGACTGTAATTCATTAATTTATCAAGCAGTAGAAAAATTTGAAAAAAATGAATCCAAAGTGCATTATACAGATGCATTAGATAAATCACGTCGTTTTATACTTCGTTGTTTCAACACATTAGCATCTCAACAGGAAATCTCAGCGGTTCAAGTTGCATCTTACCTAATGGGATGGCCAGATCATTATACATCACATACATTTATTAAAATTTATTTAATTGGTATTGAACGTTATTTAGAACAATCGCTTGCCCAGGTAAATATAACACAGATTGTAATTTTTTTTTCACATTCATATTGATGCATCAATTTTCAAAATTTTAAATGTCAGTTGAAACAAAAAACAGGACTTAATGATACAACAAATGAATACCATGAAAATGAAGAATTACCATTGGATGTATTCGAATCGTTTTATGAAAATGATGAGCAAGATCAAGATCAAAATGAATCATTCGAACTAGAGACTGGTATTGACGACAATAATCTTGTTCTTTGCAACAAACGCATTGACTATCAATTACGACCCATAGAACTTGATGATATTTGTCTTTATACTTTTTATTCTGAATACAGAAAAGCAAAAATGACCATATTTGATAAGACTCTGTTAGAACCCAATTCTATGCCAACATCACTACGACGACGTGGTCGACCTCCGAGTGATCGGTGGCTATTCCAATCAACCCATCCACAATATATGTCTCATCTAATTATACGTCGTTCTTTTTCGGTTGTTCCGGTTTTGGTTGGTCCGTCTATACCTCGTCGTGAACGTGAAGATACTAGTGAACGTTATGCACGAGCTATTTTAACATTGTTTTGTCCATGAAGAACTGTTTTAGATATTTCTGATCCGTATACATGTTGGTCTGATGCATTACAACTGCACCAATCAACCTTTACAACACCATCTAACAAAGTCATAAGCAATATACAACTTTTACATGATTGTAAGAAAGACCGTGATGCAGAGCTCTATCAACTAGTTAATGAACCATTACCATCTCGGCCGATCAATACTTCAAGTCCCTACAGTGATAGAAATATAGAAGATACAGAAGATATTCTTGCTTTATTGAACGAATCGATTGATTTGTATCCATCTTTATTAAATGAAGAAATAATTGAAAATAACGGAATTCGCGCATCTATACAACGAGAATATCTGAACGTTACATTAGCTAATGTTATCCGATCAGAACGATTCTCTTCAATAAATAATATCACTGGTTTACGAGATTTTACATATAATAATACAGAATATAATTCAATTCAAGATAACAATACAAATGATCTACTTCATGTAGCAAACGAATATCATATTCAACAAATTCATCTATGGCAACATCATCTTAAAACTCAGAAAGACCAACAAAGACAATTCCTATTATATGGTTCTCAAAATAAATTGACAACGGTACCATGACCGAATACGTTTTTGTGTATAAATATATATATTTCTTTGTATATCATAAACAAGGGCCAAATATTAACTCAAGTCAATAATTCTGAACAAATTTTTTATTCAACTGTCGACACATCCAATAATAACAACATTAATTCTTCGATGTTGACTATTATTCAAACAAATAACATCATCGACGTAGGTCTACTCTCTTAAAAATAAGATTATTACCGAAACCATATCCGAGAGAAAACCTTTGACTTTTGAAATGTATCTACTAAACTTCAAAAAAATTTCATAAAGTTAATCGAAATTGAATTTTTTTTTTGATTCTGTAAGTTCAGACAAAACGTCAAAGGTTCTTCCTTTAGATACTAGTTGCGTAAAAAAACCTAGTATTTTAGAATACACCAAATTTTGCACAAATATTTAATCTCAACAAAGAACAAATCAAAATTTTCAACAATATAACATCTCATATACAACGTACAATTGTCGCTCAAAAATATTCAGATTTTAATTCTAATAAACCTTCTCAATTACTTATGTATATTGGTAGGTTATCAGTTTGTTCTCCCATCATTAAAATTTAATGATATATCTATTTTATATTATATTAGGTGGAGCTGGTGGCTGTGGAAAATCTCGAGTAACCGAAGCAATATGTGCTTTTATGTCTCATCATGATCGATTGCATACATTACGGAGTCTTGCACCATCATCTGCAGCTGCAGTAGCAATTAATGGTTTAACTATACAATCGATGCTACGTGAAAATCGACATAGATTATCAATAAAAACAACTTTAACTCAAACAGAAATAGCTACTATTGAAACTGAATGGAAAAACATTGATTATTGTTTGATAGATGAAATTTCCATGGTTGGTTGTCATATGTTAGCACGACTTCACAAAATAACAACAATTGCAAAACATACACAACCGTCAATTCCATTTGGTGGTATCAACATGATATTTCTTGGCGATTTTGTACAATATCCACCAGTTCTTGATCGACCTCTTTATCTAAATTTATTATCATCTAATGACACCTTAAATGATACTCTAAATTTTAACAAACAAAATCATAAACGACAAAATTTATCTGAGCGTGATATACAATGCAAAGTTGGTCGAGCATTATGGTTGCAAGTTAATAAAGTATTTTTTTTGACTGAACAAATGCGAAATAAAGATCCAGTGTTTATGGCCATGCAATCAAGATTGAGAACCGGTCAATGTACCAATGTAAAGCAAACTAAATTAATTGATACATAACTTTTCATTTTTATTTTAAGGAAGATTATGAACTTTTATGCAAACGTGTTGTTTCACCTGAAAATGACATTAAATCATTACGTGAACAACCATGGAATTCAGCAACAATCCTAGTTTTTAGAAATGAAATAAGAACAAACATTAATAACTATTGTGTATTTGACGAAAGTAAAAAATTTAATCAATTACCAATGGTACTTGTAGCAAATGATCGAGTTAGAAATCATGAAATTGATAGTAATGATCTTCGTCGTTTTTTACTTTCAATACCAGACAATAAAACGGAAGGCTTGCCAGGATATTTGCCAATTGTAATGAATATGCCGGTTCTTATTACACATAATATTGCGACTGAACTTCATATTTCTAATGGTTCAATTGGTCGATTAGTTCGTCTAGTAATCGATGATGATCAAAACTCAACTACTAATGCTAATTTGTCTGATTCTAAATTTCCAATTAATACTATTTATATTAGAAAACCATTATATGCATTAATAGAACTACCAAAATCTAAACTAACAAATTCCTTAACAGATCTACAACCAACTATCATACCTATTGTGCCACAAGAAAAAACAATTAAAATTGATTTAAAATCATTTATGACTGCAGCACAAATAAGACTCTTAAATAATAAAACATCTATAACTATTTCACGAACTCAATTACCTATAGTACCGGCTTATGCAATGAAAACACATAAATGTCAAGGTAAGACATTGCCATATGGTATAATAGATTTAGTTCCTCCACCATATTATAAATCCGATCTTGCAAATGTGTATGTACCAATATCACGTTTTACATCTCGTGATACTATGGCTATATTACGACATTTTCCTCGATCAATATTGGACCAAAAACCACATCCTGATATGATTATTGAATTAAAACGCTTAGAAAATTTATCAAAATATAATGAAAACTAAATCTAATCTGAATACTGAACTGATTCTACATAATTTTAATATTGTCGAACTTATCTTGATAGACTATTATTGAAATCAATCAAACACATCGTAATGACAAATAATAATATGAGTTTCGTAAAACAACCTATTTTCACTCATAACTTATATGTACAAAACTTATCATTTATGCAGAATTGAAAATTTATCGAAATCACTAAACTATTCTATTGTCTGACGTGAAGACAGGTATATTTCTATAAGATAAAATCTCTTAACACTGTGATTACAAACATCAAATACATTTCTACGAATGTAGCTTTTTTCCAACTAAGAATTCGCAAATGAAAACTAATATAAACATGATAGTAACATTTAATAAATAGAATTTTCTCTTTCTCACATATTCCACATTAAAAACTAAAAACAGTCATATATCTAAAACATATGTTTCGTTTATTTACTCTATGTGAATCAATCGCATATTTATATATTTGTATTATAATACATATATTTAAAAAATTTGCTGATGTAAATTTGTGGTTTCGATTAATCTAAAAAAAATAACAAAATTGGTGGTATTATCATGTTTCTAATAATCTAAAATAAATAATATTTTCCTCTAGTCTAATCTTTAATCGATAGACAAAATTCAGAAAGTCATACATAGAAATTTTTATCGAGATGCTTTAGTCAATTTTTTTTTTAAAGGTCAGTTGTTGATGATGCTTTGCAATTAGTTGTATGCATGCCTTTTCGTAAAGCACGTTTCTGTCGTCTTCGATTATTACGTTGTGAACTTTTGTTATACACATATAATGCATTACTTTTTTGGTTATTTCTAATACATTATTTTTCACTAATTCATTTTTAATACTTTTCGAATAATTATTAGACACTAATTCATTCAAATATGATTCCGAACCTTCATATGATTGATTATCTGGATCAGTAGTTTGAAAAAAATTATGATTAAAATTACATATATTGTTAACGCATTCATTATCTGATATTTCATTTCTCATAGTTTCTGCAGAAGATTCTGTCATATTTTTTGTAAAAAATCGAGCATGATCTGAATAACATAACTATTTCATAGAAAAACAAAAATATTCCAACATCATAATAAATATCTTTGATTTACCTTTTTTGATGGAATTCTCTTAGTTATCGGACAACTAGTCTTAATAATATTATGACATGCATTTGGTACAGCATTTTGAATTTTTACTTGTTCTGTATTGTACTTGTTGTATAAAGACATATTTGTACCACCCGTAGAAATTAATGACTTTTCATTATTATTTTTTCCTGTTCCTGGTACCGAAAAAAACTTTGTTGAAATAAATCGGTTCAACATAATGATGTTGAAAAATAATACAAAAAATGATGCTATTTGGCAAATATATGAATTTATTGATAAACCCGCAGTTTCCTTGTATTATTTGTTTTTCTAAATTCTTTCTTTATTCATAATATTTCATTTCACATTCAAAAATTTTTAGTCTATATTTCTCATAAATTTTCTCATAATCTTTCTTTTTTCTCTCAACATATTATTATTAAATTGACATGAAACGTCATAACACTAGTTTAAAAACAACAAATGAATCAAATCTTATTTCATTACAAGGTTATATAATTCGACTTACGAACCTAACAAAAAATGAAAATAATTCAAACTTTCATTACAAATTAACCATGGAGGGACCTAATGCTAGTATCATAAGTATTTTAAGATATTTATTACCAAATGGTACATGTCAATTACATCCACTCTTAACAGCTCATAATATTACTCAACAAGGAATTGAATTATCATGTTTAAAATCTATTGGACAATCTTATATGATTACAAATGATACACATGTAATTGAAAAAAATTTACCATACGAACCACAATGGTGCATCAGTCAAAACATATTAAACTTAAAATCATTAGCTGAAGAAAGAATATGCGCACTCGAATGTAAAGTAATTCAAATTGGTGAACCTCAAACATATGTAATTACATCAGGTTACAAACGAACACAAAAATTAAGAAAAGAAGCAATAGTTGCAGATCAAACTTCAACAATTTTATTAAATATTCATGATATACACTTTAGTTCAATTGAACTTGGTCAATCGTACAAAATCAGTGCAGTCAAAACAAGATTATTCAAAGATGTCATTTCTTTATCTACCATTACTGAAACGACGTAAGTTTCCAATATATAATTACTCATTATGTATATATTCCGATAAAGCAAGTTTTTCACATTCACTAAAATAACAATTACTTTAAAAAAAATTGTTTCCCATCTCATTGAACTATAATATTTTTTTTCAATACAGATTTGAAACCATACCCGAATTATCTAATGTATCATTCGATTATTCAACATTACTTGCCTCATATAAAAAAATTGATGGTCATCTTAATCAGTTAGAAGTAGATAGTTGCGATACTAGCAATAACACATTGATACATTCCTATAAAGCAACAATACAAATATCACCTACCGAAGAATACTTGTTAATTCTATCACGTAATCTTCTTCTTCAAACTCTCAATGTACAAACTGACGGCTTCGATATTAATGAAACTAAATTATTTGATTTGGTAAAAAAGCAAAAATTTATTTCTTCTCGTGTACAATGCACATTTGATATGAATACTGGAATTATAAATCAAATTGAACGTAAATACTTTAAAATTACAAATAGTAAGAAAATTTGTCACTTAGTCTTTTTATTTCATATAACTACTAGCCTATTTTAAAGCTTTTTACAAGTTTTCATAATTTTTTAAAGAAAGCTATTGTTTCTTCAATTAGTAGTAATATTTCATTTTCTAAAAAGAAATTTATCAAAATACTGTGACGGTTTTTCGTCGGAAGAAAATTGGCGTTAAACGAATTACGATTGATTATAATTCTTTTTTTTAAAAACAGCATTGTTTATATAGAAAAGACATTTCTATATAATCGATTAAAACAGAAAACAACAAGAAAAGAGAACTATTAACTCGAGAAAACAACACAAAAAAAAGATACCAAATCATGAATACTTACACAAAACACATATCCAACTGTATCGTAATATTATTTAATAGACAAATTATCAATATATGACTATGACGCATGCGACAGTAAAACAAAACATAACAGATCAACACTCATAAGACTTATATAGTCCTACTACTCTTTTCAGTTCAATCAAACAAATGAGGACATTTTTTAACACTATCTAATGAAATACTATTCTAATATTTACAAATAATTTGTTTTCAGATGATCTAAATACGAATTTGCACATAGACATTATGAAATCGCCATCTTTCTTCACAAATCAAGATACACCATTGCTTAATACCAAAAAAACCACACAATCCAACGAAGCGTTTAATTCAGCTGAAACTATTATTGGAAAAGAACCTACAGATCTATAATCAAGTTAAATATTTAATCAACTTAATTCAATATGATATATGATTTCAATATGATATAATTATTATGAAAAAAAAATTCTAACTAAATTCATGAACATAAAACACAATAATTCGACAACATACGAATATTTTTCTTTTTTTTTAATTTTAATTAAATACTAAAAGATCGAGATTTTCACAAATAGTACTCTTCGACTGAATAATATTTCATATATTAAACAAATCACTAAATTTGTACTAATACTATAACATATGAATACATATACATCTGTGTCTTACAACATCGTATTATTTATTAATTTTTCATATTACCCTCATCCTGAATTATCATTCTACTAAAGTTTGTATTCAAAATTCTTATTTTATGAATAACTTTCACTCATTAATTGACCTTTTGGCATAAACTTCTTCTAATAAAATATCAGACAAATAAAATCCACCAGACACTATCCTAAACACTATTTCTTCATTAGTATTGATTCAAAAAGACAGTAATCTTAATTATTATAACTGACCATTAGAAGTATTTCAATTTTGTTTGATTTCAATAATAAACAATAATGTATAAAACATAGTTATGACATTTGTCTAAAACTAGAGTACCAACAGATCAAGTTACATCATCATCATGATGAATTTGGTATCTTATTTATAAATAGTATAGTATCCAATTATAGTTACTCATGTTAAGTACTTTTTAATACTTTTTATGCTACAAAATATCTGTATCACAAGAAAATATGAAACAGAACACATTCTTTATTCCATATTATCCACAATTATTTCTGATATCATCATAAACTACTTGTTACTTATAATAATTATACATATTAACCAAAAAAATTTACATACGAACCTATAATTAATAAACAAAAGTGACACTTCAATTCATAATACCAATCAGATATACAGTAATATGCCTATAGATGCTAACAAATAAGTAAACAATATAAACTTTAACGTATAATTGAAATTCTTATATATAATGGCATCACTATTGTAATAAAAAATACGACAAACCCCTGTATATGTTTGAAATCGACTCATTGATTATCTTGATTGCTCTGATTTCACCTCACAATAAGATCGAAAAGCTTCATTTGCTTTTTCAAGTTCTTTATAATCAATATTCTTCTGTTGCAATGACATTCCTATAAAAACCACATCTATTTACCATTATATAACAGAATGTTTCAGGTGTATGATACTATCTATACTACTACTCTATAAATTTCTTGACTAAATGCATAATCGTCAATTCTTCGGTAAAGCTTTCTTGACATTTTTTTTTCATCAAAAAATTAATATAAAACATTTTCACTATTGTAAAAAGATTTGAAAAACTGTTTTTAACAATCAACCCTACTCTGTTTAAGAAAACACTATAGCGTCATTAATTTTCTATATTTTATGCCCTCTCTATAAAATAATAATTTTGCATATATTAACTATTCATTTTTCACCATTATCGCTCCTTTTATAATATTATCATTCAACCGATTAGCTGTGCTACAATCATCCTAACAGTAAGCCTGAAAGTATTATATCCTCTAAATTCCTTGTCATATTGTTTATTTTATAAAACAATTTGACTATTTATAATTTCATAACAGTTTTTTTTCTTCTTCAATATAATTGCCGCATTCTTTTATTTCATTTTGCATTTTTATTTTTTTATCAAACAGTTATAATTTTTTATTCATTTTAATCAATTTTTAAAAGCTAATTATCATCAATTGAACTAATGAATCATCCAAAATTTCCATCCACAGTAATGCACAATCTTGTCAATAACTATGTCACTTGTCAGGATCAATTGAAAGCCAGCTACGTTTTAAATGATTATCTCTGTATAAAGCCAAACTTTGTTGAACGTCTGCACATCAAATGATTGTGGTAAAATATAAGGCCAGGATATAGTTCCATTTTTTACAGATACACCGTGTTCATGTTGAATATATCGTTTACTATGTTTTATAAAACGATTGAATAA